AAAAAACTATTAGTTAAACGATGATTATTTCTAACGACGACATTGTATAATAAATGGGTGGCCTATGGTAAAAGATATAATTGGATAAGAAGTAAATTTACTATCTCTTTTGATTTTCCATTGGATGTCATTTTGCTCTTATTTAGTCAATTCAAATAAAATATAGAGAGTTACTCGACATTTACACTTTCATTTTAAAAAAGTAGTCAGAAACTCGACTCCAAAACTCGCAAGTAAAAGATTTACTATCACACCTTAGAAAGCTCATAGACTTTTTCGTAATTTTTTTACTTTCCCTAATTTTAATCTTTAATATACGTACCTTGGAATCTTGTTATTTATTTTCTGTGATTATTCAAATAGAAAAATTCTTACGTTTGTAACAGTCGCAATATTTTGCATTGTAAATTGTAATATCAATACTCACAGATATACATATTGATGAATGTTGGCACATCCGTATGAAACTGACGTTATATAACGGTTTTTGAATCAAGGTTGTGAGAAAATATTTTTTTTATAATAAAACTAAAACTCTTGACGCAAGGATTACAAATGTAGATTCGTATGTGCATAACCGATCACATATATTATATATAGTATTTTTTTTTTTTTGCCGGACCAAAACTTTGAAACGAGAACCAATTCCTATGAATTTTAGTGGTAATTGATTTCCAATCTGGTGTTTGATTGGCATGTAAAGTATTATGGTGCCTTATTCAAACTTAAATTTGGAGTCCGAGTTCATGTGGTAATCAACATATCGAATTTAAATAAAAAAGGAATCAACATATCGGTTCATTTTTTTGGGGTCTTGTTATACATTGTGATAAAGAAAAAGAAGAAGAAAAAGCATCGGCGTAAGAAAATGTTGCATTACTTACATATGAATATATGATCAACTTTTTTTTTCTTTTTGTTAATGACGCATGATAAAGATGATAACGATAACCTCGTATACTTTTAAAATAGATCAAAATATCAATCTCCATCATTCCATAATCCATTTACATAAGACTTTATGTAGGGAGAAAAAAAACTAAAACTCTTGGCGAGGATTATAAATGTACATGCGTACGCAATATGCTGATCATTTTTTTTCCTTTTGCAAAATTAAATGTCGCTATCGAATTCTTGTGGTTAGAGACTGAACGTTTTTTTTTTTGAAAAAACAAGTGACTGATCTTTCTAGTTCATTTTCGGTCTTGTTAATTATTTGAAGGAAAAGAATGCAAATGATTACAAATGTAGAAATCTATATGCAAAACCGATCAATCACATAAGTTTTTATGGTCGGGCCAATATTTTGAAACGAAATCTAATTTCCAATAAAATTTTGGTAATTAATTTTCGATCTGGTGTTTGGTTGGGATGCATGTGGTAAGAGATTACACTTTCTTAGTTCACTTTTGGTCTTGTTAAATATTTTAATGAAAAGAAAAAGAAGAAAAGCACATTCGATTTACACATGATAAAGTTGATAACGAGAACATGAGTTCGTGAATATTATAATAGATAAAATATCAATTTCCATTTCCCTGTTCATTAGAAGTTTTCCTTAATTTGTTGTTTGTATCCAATAATCATGCTGCATGCATTGTTATATTTTCACAACGTATTGCGACGATTAAGGCATCGCGGTCCGTGAAATAATAAAAAATAACAAGTGTGGTTAATTTTAGTATAAGCGACGATGTTGAAAACCGCTGCAGAATTTGTTATTAAATATGCATATTTGTTACAATGTAAAATGATTTCTGGTTTGTGAGAACAATTGACACATGTATAAGGTGTAAAATGACGTATCTATATATAGAGAAACGAACATTGCAAGCTTTTGTAGATTAACACATTGAAGGGAAAGTTCTACAATATAAACTTTTACCCGAAGGAACGATATATTTTTTTTCACCAACTTGTTGTTCATTGCAAAGTTTTTTGCAAGCGTCTTCGCACATCTTAGGAGTAGCATTTTTTATTTCTTTCAAACACTGGTTCGGAACACAGTGTTTGACACACACTTCTGTGTTATTCGCCTGTGAGAAATGTGCCGAAAACATCATCGTGTACAAAGCTGCAATCATCAAGAAGCTGCACATTTTCTTCAAGTTTTGAGTCATCATCCCAACGTGTATGAATGAACTGAAGACTGCAGCTTTGTGTACGATGTTAAAGAACAAAATGATTTGGTGAGAACGTTGGATTGATCTTCAATGATTTATATAGTCAAGATAATGGTTACCTAATTTTAGAAATTAGTTTTTTTGTGAAAATTTTATCTGTTTCTTGTTTTCTCTTTTCTTTAAGTAGTAGATATATTTTTGTGATTTACTGTATTGCTAAAAAAAAAACACAAATTATTGCTATAAATAATAATTATTGCTAATTCTAATTACAGATATATATTATATGTGTTGTTAAAAAAGAAAGATGTATAATTACATCTTAATTTGCAACCATATGTGCGTGTATAATAGTTGAACTTAATTTGGGATAAAAGATATTAAATTCATACGCTGGACGAAAGCTCTTTTTCAACTTACGCAGCATAATGTTGCTCGGCTCACCATGTGAGTATCATATTCTCACACTTGGGACTAGAAATGGAGATCTCTTATATGGAGGAATGCCCAATGTTGCTCGGATCACATTATCCTCTTGTGGACGATGATAGTATATGCATCAATGGTAGAATGTTGTACTATATCACTAAAGACAAAAAAACGTGTCATCTTTTGCTTTGATGTTAGGTCTGAGAATTTTAGTCTTGTTTATAACAGTGATGCTTTCATCTTAAAGATGATCGACTACAATGTTAATGGATGTGATCACATCTTTTATGTAGTTTCTATTTCTCTATGTCTAATTGTGATTTGGGCTTCAACTCAATATTTTTCATTGCTTAGTTATGATTTTAATCTATGCATTTGATTGCCATGCACATTACCATTGCTTTCAAGCACATCTTTTACCCAATGATGCTGAAAATGCTTCAAATAATCTTTGTTCCACGTCTTTTACATTTGCATAATTGTCTAAGCTATACTGCTTCCATGTGTGTACGTAATTTATTCACAACCAAGCCTATTATTCTTTGTATTATTATTATTATTATTTTTTTTTTTAACAGTATTCCCTTTTTCTCCATGTTGTTATTATATCGGGTCCTGACCGGAGTATCTACTAATCGGGTCAACCCCTTTGGAGAAACCCGGTTCTGGTTTACTCTTATTATCTGAGTTTTAAAGTTGAAAATGTGGAGAAGGAGAAGAGAAACAACAATATTGCAGGGGTTCGTGAATCTTCGTCCCTTGAACAAGAGATCTCTCATTCACCGTCTCAAGCCGATTCTCAACGCCGTCGACTTCGACTCACCAGTTAGTTATCTGTCTCTCCTCCTCGCTCATCTGCTTCTTTCTCCGCCTGTATTTTCTCTCCACAGCTCCTCGTCTCCGGCGGGATGACACTTTCCCGGGGATAAACATGCACTTTGGTCTTTGATTCAACTCTCAATTTTCTGGCCTTGTTGTCAAAACCCCGATCTTTTTTCTTTTTTCTTCCTTTTGTTTTCGAAATCTGCTTGCGAGATTTGGGGTTTATTATAGGGAGGGTCGATTGAAGCTTACTGTGTGCTATTGATTCGAAAACAAAATTGGAAAACTCGTTCGATGATCCTTGCAACTGCTTAGTTTCGCTTCTCACTTCTTCTCCCCAACATAGTTTATTTTCCTGTTTGGGTCGTCTCAGCTTCTTTCCTTCTTCATTCTCGAATAGATTTGACTTTCTCCATCGATTAAGTTTATGTGTTTGGGTATTCAATAGAGCATTTGCAATTGCAGCCATTTTCAAAAGATTGAACATTGTGTTCTGTAGCGTATATACATTTCACTAATTCCCTTTTGAGTTTCAATCTTGACTTATGTAAGATATATGTCTGTCTGGTGATAACTATAGCCGAGCATCGCTTCTTCTCACTGGCTGATCAAAGATGAGAACTCAAGAGAATGAGAAACACCTGGAGGAGTGCACCGTTTCCAAGTGAGTTTCTTACTTTTATATGCTTACATCAAGGAAAAATCTGATTGTTTTGCTAGTTATTAGAAAGGTAGAGGAACACAGTTTCATTGTTTCTTTCTTGATTATGACATTGACACTTGTGAGAAATAGGATTCATAGCTTTATCATTGACGCATGTTTGTGGAGTATCTTCTTCTTGTGTGTTGTTGTTCTCGAGGGTTAAATACATCACGAATTGAAACTTTTTTTTGGGTCCAGTGCATTAGGGACATGGGTATTCTCAGTGCTAGGCGCATTGGTTGCAATCCCGGTGGGCATCAAACGCAAGTCTCTAGGTCCGCTCGTGTTCTTCGGCACAACCGGAACAATGCTCGACATAATCATCGGTGTGAGTCAGTGCGAGAGAGAACACGCAGAGCACCAAATGAAGTTACTCCAAGACTCTCAAAACGCAGCAGCATCCGACGAACCCATTGCCGCAACAATCAACACAGAGGCAGATTCCATTTCCTAATCTTCTTTTACAGTTTTTGTTTTCCCCCAATAAGACTTTCTACAACTTAAAACTTGTTGCAAGACTTGATTGTTCCATGTGTGTTCTGAACAAAGACGAAAGCTTTTGATATATAATGATATGATTCGGCAAAATGAAAAAAAAGGGGAAGTTCCCATATATACAAAGCCGGTTTCATATCGTGTGAGTTTGACATAAAATTTTGTCTTTTGACACAGTCTCCGGTATATTCAGGATCAGCTCGTAAGGTTTTCAATAACCTCTAAAATGGGTACTTTCGTAATGTGGTTATGACTTATCGAGCTACGATAAAACTTGACATATCTAAAATCTGTCACGAGCCTATATACTAGACATGTTCAAACCAAAAGAACCAATAGAAGAAGAAAAAAAGCAGAGAGAGTCTACACATCTCAGTAAGCGACGGCTAGCAGAGGAAGATTCCGATGACGTGGGAAGAACTGACACCTTACACGTGGACGAACCAGCGAAGATAAGCAAAGAAAGCGGAGGAGATCAATAGGAATGTGAAGCCGAGCACCAGGTTTACGTCCGAGTCTTGCTGGATTCTCCGCATCCGTTCCAGCACCACCGGCGCACCAACGACTCTGGCCATCACAACCACGAAACACAGATGCGCCAACGTGTTGAGCTCAAGTGCCCAGGAGACTGCCACGTGCACGGTCTTCGTTCCCGGGGTTGAATCTGAAAGGTCAAAACCAGATTGTCGTCTGCAGTATCTTGTGAAGATGTCGAGCAAGACTGCTGCGTAGAAACGATCGCTTAGTCGACGAATCTCTTCATGTACCTCACGAACTCCGTCTCCATCATCCATTGCGAATCCAGTCTTGCAGGAGAAAGAACAGAGGAGATTTGAGACGAAGGTCGATAAAAGAATCAAAATCCGTTAAAGCGGAAGGGGTTTTATCAGCATGGAGGGGTTTATCTAACTTAACCATGGTTGAAAATTTAACTATGAACCATGGTTGAAAATAACCATTTTGGCATTTTCCTTAACGGCGTAAGTTAGGGAAGTTTCAGAGCCAGTGACTGACGACTGATGACGACTACGAACGAGATTTTGGTGAACCGGTTACGTAGTTTCGTTCGTTGCTGAACCGGAAATCAATACGTTAAATATTCTAATTTACGCTAGTAATGCTTTTTAACAATCGACTCAACTATGTTATTGTGTATAACGTTTTAGCGTGGAATCCCCTGTTATATAGTACAAATTATAAACAAAAACGCAAGCTTGAATTTCAAAGTTAAAGTTATCAAAACTTTAACAGCTTATATCATATGATGCTAACATCACAAATTCAAATGCTATAACGAATATACGATTTAACATATCTGATATGAAGTCATGACGTAGCTGGAGTCTCTAATTATGTGAGCTTCTTTACATTGAGACCTCCTTTTCAAGCGACTATAAGCTATGATCTGAAACTTTCATGAACAATTTATATATGAAAGATGATAAACCTTGTACTTCGATATCAATTTGGTATTAAGCAAAATCATGTTCTAACCAAACGAAACAACAACAAGAAAAAGCCAGAAAACGCCCCCCCAAAGAAAAAGAAAAAAAAAAGCCAGAGAGAGAGTTTTTAAGCATCGGCTATGAACAGACTAAACGACGTAGTTCCATGGGAGAAAGGCGGAGGAAGATTCTTGATGAAGACTGTGGAAAAACTCAGACCCACCGGAGATAAGCGGAGCAAGAGAGCGAGATCAACAGGCAGATAGAACCGATCACCAGATCTCTGTCGCACTCTTTCTGTATTATTCGCATCCGTTCCACCACCACCGGCACCCCCGGGAACGGAGCGATTTTGAAGATCGCCATCAGAAAACATATATGCGCTGCCGTTTTGAACTTCGATGCACAAGAGAACGCCATACCTCCCATCTTCGTCTTCGTTCCCGGATTCGGATCTGACAGGTGAAACCCAGCGTGTCGTATGTAAAACATTGGGTTTGAATGGTATACAGTTTTTTCACGTTTTCACAGTTTGGAAACTTGATTCTGTTATTTTTTATCATTTATGTTATTTATTATATTTTTATGTTTTTTTATATTTTTTATGTTTTTGAAACATAATTCCGCTATCGTGTTAAAAATATAACTAAAAAAAAATAAAACGTGATTAATCTACTAAAAGTAGTTTTTCAGCGTTTCATAATTATTCAGTTCAGTTCATTCCGCTAATAAATTTTCAGTTATTCCACTATTCTGTTATTCATCTGATATACCAGTCAAACTTATTGTGAATACCTCGAGCGATAGTGCGATGATGCTCATGCCGATTCTCACGCAATTCATCGATGGCGATCGAATTTGCATCCATGGCGATCGAATTCGCAGTAGAGAAATTGGAGATTAAAACCAAGATTGTGCAATTGGAATCGTGGAAAGGAGGAGAAAATTAAGGGTTTTGGAGAGAAAATCCGTCTGATTCTTTTTTAACTTTCTTTGAACCCGAGGTTTTTATCTAACCCAACTATGGTTAGGTTTAACTGTGTGCCATGGTTAGGTTTAACTGTGTGCAAGTGAGGTCATGAGTAGTCTAACCGGTTACATAACTTCGTTCGCTGCTAAACCGGAAATCGACAATATGGTTAAACCAATTGGTTCCTGATTCATCGTCGGTCAATTTATAATCGGCATTACCATTTAGAAAAACATCTGCATAGGTTAATAATAATGAGAGTTGATACAATAAGTACTATGTATATAGTATTTCGAATTATAAAAAGTTTAAACCACGTTTCTTGAGTTTCATCACTTTTCTAAAACCTTATATAATGTAAAAGAAAGTTGAATCAGTAACCTCATCTTACGACTTGTGGAATGATGTTACATGTTACAGAATCATTTCATATAAACAATCGATTGAATTAAAACGTTCTAGCGTGGGAATTCTCGGTTATATTCCAAAAAAAATGTAGCCTTGCATTTTAATTACCCTGTAAATGATATATGTAATTCCTTAAAAAGGAATTTTGCTTTGGCTTAAATGAAATTATTTAAATATAAAGTTATCAACTATATCATCCCAGGTGTATAAAATTGAGGACACAATCAAACAAACAACGGGAGTAGCATTCGATATAATAGAGCGATAAACAACACAAATTCCAAAGATGGAATGAGAAAATACGAATTATTAATACTAATGATCTTACATAAAATAGGATTTGTAAGCTCGTCCAAGTCCAACAATCTCCGCCATGAACACGCCAGCATGGAACAGTGTGTCAATGAGAGACAAAGCAGGAAGCAACGAAGAAGGCCAAAACCTGGCAACAATGACGCACTTACCCGCGAGCGACATGAAGGTAACAGCGAGCATCACAAGTATGACGGAGACTCTTTCCCCAACTTCACTTGATCCGTGAGCTACACGTTTCCCTACTTGAGCTAACGCAGCCGCGGAAGCTAACGCAAACGCTGAGTTGATGAACGCCCAGAAACTCTTTCTTGCTACTTGTTTGACTCGAAAATCAGCTTCTGTCGTTGTGATTCCTGGTTTTGGAATTGATGATGCGTTCATGAGATCTGCAGGTGGATTGAGAATTGGTCTGAGAGTGGTGAACATTAACATGAGTGCTATCGTCAAAGTGATAAGTGCTCGACGATTTTGACGATCACCATCCATTTCTGACCTGAGAATGGAAATATTGAGGAGAGAGGAGCTGATGATTTGTAGTATGTTAAGAGGAATGGGGTTTATCTAAACCATGGTTAACTTTTTAACCTTGGTTAAGAATATTAGGCTGTCTTTCGGTGTAATAGTTTCCTAACAGAGTAATGTGGCTTTACATACTCAGGAGCCATTTCAAGTTATATGTTGGATTTTAAAGAGGGTGTTTCTAGTATGCTATCAATGCCACTTTGCTTTATTTAATAGAGTGTGGGATAGGTTTATTTAACTTCTTGTTAACTAAGTATATATTTAATTACTTTACTTACGATTTCCCATTTGATTTTCATTTCTCAAAGTAAAGAAGAAGCCAAAGGACTTTAATTTGCATAAATATAGATACTTCTCAGTATGGAAATTAAAGTTTTGATTTCAACACTTTCTTTAAAGACTTAAAAAATTAGAAATGGTTTTTTTTTGTTTTTGTCAAATAGAAATGTTTGATAAAACATAAAATTATTATCTATCCAAAACATGTTTTGAATAGATATGCAGAAAATCAAAGAAATTTTCATCTTTACTTATACTGACCAAATTGGTCAAAAGTGGGCATTCCATTCATAGAAGAGGAAGAAGACGCACCACCACCAACGGATCCATCCTGACCCGACCCGTTTTGATAGTATCGACCACCACCACCGCCAATAACCAGAGATTGATCCAACATACCATAACCGTAAGCACCCGGAGGAGGTGGGCCAAGTGATGGGCCGTGAAACCCAATACCACTTCCACCAAAGGCAGGTTTAAACGACGATGACTCACCTCTAAGTGAACACCCACGATCGGTCTCGAACTCACGGTACCGGTTAATGAACACGTTGAGTGGTCCCACGTAGTCGTCGAAGCCAAGCTTGCTCATAGCGTAAAGGATGTCTTCAGCAGTTATGGTCTTACGCTGCTCGCGTTGGCAACGCTCGTTGGCTTCACCGGTCACGAAGCTGATGTACTCGGAGACGCATTCTTGAATCGTTTCTTTGGCGTCGTCAGAGATTTTGGCGTGCGACGGCAAGATTCGACGCATGATCCTTATCACGTTTGCGATTGGCATGTACTGGTCTTGTTCACGAGCCATGCATGGTTGTTGCTGCCCCACGCCACTCTTGTTCTTGTCGTCAACGATGGAACCGGTCAATGTCGGGATTGAGTTACTCTGCTGGTCCAAATTCAATCCTGTTTCACAGATAATGTATAAGTTTTTAAAATAAAAAAGCAAGAAAATCAAGAGAGAGAACTTAAGTTCTTTGGATTACTAAATGAAATTAATTAACTGGAAAATGAAATGAAGCTTTTAGGATATGAATTGAGACATAAAAAGACAACAAGGACTGTCAAGGGAATACACGTGGCTAGTTACCGACCAATTAGATAAGAGAAAATTTGTGGGCTCTACTTTTGTTGACTGTACATGTGGACCCCTTTATTTAGACTGTTCAGATTCATGCCGTTACGTTTATATTTACGGAGCGAAAACAAAGTCAAAAGGATCTTTACTCTTCTCGAAATACTTCAAGTTTGATGCTAGTGCAAGTATAAACGCGTATTCCCAATTTTGTCGTCAAAATTGTAACTTAGTTTCAGTTTTTTTAAAAAAAAAAACTTAACCAATAAAATACCTTTACTAACTAACAGGATGATTTCTAACAACAGTTTCACCGCGGGTAAACTAGAATTCGTAGATCATAATTTCAATTCATTATAAGTATATATACATAGGTTATATCTACTTGACGATTTGTCCAAAAAAAAAAGGTTATATCTACTTACGATTATATAAGAACATAAAGAATTTAATAGAGGGAAAAAAGGTGTCATGACATAATAAAAGTATACAATAAAAGTCGTGTAAAGGTTCCCAATGGTAAATGTTAAAAGTTAAAACGATCACAAGAATAAAGTTAATGACGGTGGTTTGACCAGGATAAACGTCTAATGCCGGTGGTAACATCCTAAAAGAAATGAGTTTGTACTTATAATTTCGCAGTTAACAAATAATTTTGCAGAATGAGGACTTTGCAAGTGTAAGTGTAATTCAATTTACTGTAGATATTTCCAAACAAGGGTGAACAAACGAGATTTTCGTTTTGAAACAGAAAAAAAAAACTCAGCCGTTACAGCAAACAAACTAATAAAGAAAAAAATCATATATAAAACCAATTTTTATAATTTTTTATAAAATATTTTAAAAAAAGGATTTTGATTTTGAGTCGGCCTTTAAACAAAACCAACACATCCCACCTCTATACTTTTAAAAAGTCGAAACACAAATCTGATAAATAGAATTAAAAAAAAAAAAGTGAAACTGAAAACATTCCTTGTGCATGCACCGGTATGTTCAATGAACACATATATGAATGAGCATCCGCCATTAAACTTTGTTAATAAAATATCAAAGCATGAAAACATTTGAATCAAGCATATTGGCTCATGCCCGGATGTATACACGAATATGCAAATAGACATATACATATATCAAACTCATTCACGCATGCATATCTCTAAGCGTCTTCTCGGAACCTTTAAAGACATACAAGTTTCTGAATTTTCATGAGAATATATAGGCAATACATGGAGGCACGTATATATATAAGTAGCCACTTATGATTTGATTACCAGAGTTGGGTTTGGGGAGCTGATAGTGAGAGAGAGGAGCTCCACGTTCCATTGTTTCTCTGCCGTCTTTTTTTTTTTTGGTTCTTTATAAAATAATTATTTGAGTGATTTGTTGCATGCAAAGAGAGGTCGATGGTTAAGTGGTTTTATAGAGAGATGATACAAATGGCGAAGGAGGCGGTTCTTACGAGGTCGCTATATTTCTCTATCTCCCATTGGCTAATTTTATTGGCTAGTGGCCAGTCAAACTAACCCCACTGCTCTTCTCTCATTGGTCCTTTTTTCACTTATCACCAAAATTAATGAGTGTTTATAAAGAAAGAAAAGAAGGATATTTATGAAAAAAATACTTTGTTTATAAAGAAAATTTGAAGAAGAAGATCACAAGGCTCAGTTTTTTTACCAATTAAAGGTTAATAAAATTTCTGTGTGGCGTTTTTAGTTATATATGTTAATAAAATTTATGTTTCACTAGATATATAATTAATGGTATCTAGTTAGTAAATTTGAAAGCTATTTTAAGATATTATTTTGTTTGAAATGGTAAGTTTTGATTTATTTCCTTGAATAAACTGTTATGAAAACAAAATTGAGCTGTAAAGTTTATTGAAAAATCTATTGATATTAAAAACTACATGTTAAATTTAAAGTATTTAAGCAAAAAGTAGAATGCTTTACAAGAAGCTACAGTATTGGTGTTTATATGCATGTTATAATTGAATGTTAATTTAGATGTTCTAATACATATTAGTGTTTTGACTAAGAAAATAGAGAGTCAATAACACAATACTAAAATGGTGGTCTTAAATTTACGTGTCGTGATCTAGTTATAGATTAATAAAAGTTACAGATTTAAAGTATTTAAGTAAAAATTAGAATGCTTTACTAGAAGCTACAATATTGGTGTTTATATGCATGTTATAACTGAATGTTAATTTAGATGTTCTAATACATACTAGTGTCTGACTAAGAAAATAGAGAGCCAATAACACAATACTAAAATGGTGGTTTTAAATTTACGTGTCGTGATCTAGTTACATATTAACAGAATTTACAGATTTAATATATTTAAGTAAGAATTATAATGCTTTACTAGAAGCTACAATATTGGTGTTTATATACATATTACAATCGAATGTTAATTTATATGTTCTAATACATACTATTGTCCGAATAAGAAAATAGAGAGACAATAACATAATGCTAAGATAGTAGACTTAAATTTACGTGTTGTGATCTAGTTACAGATTTATAGAATTTGCAGATTTAAAGCATTTAAGTAAAAATTAGAATGCTTTACTAGAAGCTACAGTATTGGTGTTTATATACATGTTATAATTAAATGTTAATATAGATGTTATAATATATATACTAGTGTTTGGCTAAGAAAATAAAGAGCCAATAACACGATACTAAAATGGTGGTCTTAAATTTACGTGTCGTGATCTAGTTACATATTAACAGAATTTACAGATTTAAAGTATTTAAGTAAAAATTATAATGCTTTACTAGAAGCATTGGTATTTTTATACATGTTATAATTGAATGTTAATTTAGATGTTCTAATATACACTAGTGTTTGACTAAGAAAATGGAGAGCTAATAACACAATACTAAAAATTGGTGGTCTTAAATTTACGTGCCATGATCTAGTTACAGATTAACAGAATTTATAGATTTAAATTATTTAAGTAAAATTAGAATGCTTTAATAGAAACTACAATATTGGTGTTTATATGCATGTTATAATTGAATGTTAATTTAGATGTTCTAATACATACTAGTGTTTGACTAAGAAAATAGAGAACCAATAACACAATACTAAAATGGTAATCTTAAATTTACGTGTTGTGATCTAGTTACAGATTAACAGGATTTACAGATTTAAAATATTTAAGTAAAAATTAGAATACTTTACTAGAAACTACAATATTGATGTTTATATGCATATTATAATTGAATGTTAATTTAGATGTTCTAGTACATACTAATGTTTGACTAAGAAAATAGAGAGCCAATAGCATAATACTAAAATAATACTAAAATGGTAGTCTTAAATTTACGTTTCGTGATCTAGTTACAGATTAACAGAATTTATATATTTAAAATATTTAAGTAAAAATTATAATACTTTACTAGAAACTACAGTATTGGTTTCATTGAATATAACATTCTGTACACCAATTGGAATAAGTAAAAAAATAAATATTTATTATTATGCACTTAAAGAGTTATTTATGTTTTCATTGAATAACATGTATTTTTAAAAAAAATTATTAATCTAATCATCCAATTGACATATTTTGAAGTTTAACATATGTTTGAATCTCTCATAAATTGTCTTAAAATCCCTATATCAAATAAACTAATTATTGGTTTTGACAAATTTTTGTATTGCATATACACATTTATAAATTACCAACAAAATAATGCTTAAACATTTCAGTTCTTTTTTCCATAATTTACAAGATACAAACCAGAAAAATGAAGTAAGTAAACAAATCATGCGAAATGAAGTAGTTTGTCATTGTCTTCCAACTTTGTTTACGCCTATATAACAAATAGTCAGGATCCAAAGCGGAATCGATCGAACTCGTTTTTTCTCAACCCTTCTTCCCCACTCTGTCTAGAGCTTTCACTTTCGAATCTTGGGATGCAAGGTTCCTGAAACAACAACGTGTGGTTATAATTTCTGAAATAACGAGGGGCTAATCTTGGGATCAGATCTTTATGTAATTTACAAGTTATAAAAAGTGTAATTTTGTAAGTTTTATTGTAATGGACGTGTAATATAAGCGATGCCTAGCTTACACAAGGATGTCGAAAGTCTAAAGTTTTCAATGAATAAATCGTAAACTGATCATCACCATAGTCTCTGATCACTGTAACTCAAACCCCATGCCATAGAAAATTGTTTGGATGAAAGAAATCGACACAAAATAGATTATATATAAAAAAATCTATATACGTACATGATGCATGTATTAATGAATTCACTAATATGAAATACACACATTTAGGCCTTGTAACTTTTATTTGCATCGAACCGAACCAATGTTGTCGATCGGTTTTTGGTTTTGGTTCAGTTATTCAGATTAAAATGATGAGCACAAATTATAAAGTAGATTCGGGTATTGTATGGGTTTAATTCGGTTCATTCCAACTGATTGATTAACCGGACAAACCCAATTAATTAACATCCCAAATTAGCGTAGCTAAATTATTCCAACTGATTGAATAATTTAGTATTCTTCAATTTGGACATTACAGAAGATAATCGAGATTTATGACAATAAAGTTATTTTTGATGACCATAAAAAGTAAATCACAGATATGTATGTACTGTACTACCCCAAGAGATCAAAACAAGAAACAGATTGAACCTTTAAAAAGAAAAAAAAGCAATTTCTAAAATTAGGTAACCAGTACTGCCTTGAGTATATAAATCATCTATACTTTCTCACCAAATTATCTTGTTCATAATAAAGATCGATTTCTTTTAGTACTCACTTAATTATCATCAGTTCATTGATAACATTATGGCGGCTCAAATTTTGAAGAAAATATATAGCTTCACAGTGATTGCAGCTTTGTTCACGATAATGTTTTCGCCACAAATCTCACATGCGAATAACACAGAAATGTGTGTCAAACATTGTGTCCCAAACCAATGCTTGAAAGAGCTAAAAAACGCAACTCCTAAGATGTGCGAAGACGCTTGCAAAAAACTTTGCAGTAAACAACAAGTTGGTCAAGAAAACTACATCGTTCCTGTGGGTAAAAGTTGGTTTTGTAGATATTTCCCTGATACATGCAAATAGTTCATCCAAAATCACGAAAGGGTGCAATGTTCGTTTATTAACAGTTAAGGGAATTCAAGATGATGTCAATTGGTTTATATACATATCTATTGTTCTCACATGATAAAATTGTTTCACACACTGTAACAAAGATGCATTTCATTCACTCATCACTTATTGTATTTGTATATCTTATTTTTCCAGTTAAGGGGATTCAAATGATGTAACGTTCATATTGTGTAGTACTGAAATATCCTTTCACAATTTATCATTCGGAACTATTAAATGCTCAAGCATGCCAACAACTCTATCAACTCCTAGTATTGTAACAAGCTATATATGCGTTTGCTGATAGGAGAATAATTGCAAAATCATGCTTTTACTAAGGTGGGGGTATTGGATTGAATTGAAAGGAATTAAAGTTTTCATTAAATACTAGTGTTATTCAATGATATATTTTATCAATTCTTTTAATATCTATGTTATTGGACTAAGTGTTTCCATTCATTCTTTCAAAATCCATTAAATATCATTGTTATTTAATATATTAATTTTTCAATTCTATTAAATATCTGTGTTATTTAATTTTGTAATAACTTTGATTGTACTAGGTATTTACCCGTTCTATGCTACATGATATGTTTCTAAATTTTGTATATATTTTTAATATAATAAAATTATTATTATAATCTAAATGAGTATTATATTTTTTTATTAGTTTAAGTTATGTATTTATATTAAGTTATGTATTTCTATGTTTAAATCTGAAAAAATATTATATACTTTTTTTTTTAAAATTATAATTTGCTATTAAATTTAGTTAGCTAACTAATTACAAATGTATATATAGGAATAAAATATATAAAAATAAAGCAATACATTTTTAGTACTTTCATGCTAATGGTAAATGTAATCTATTTTCTCCATTAAACTGCCATTTGATCCTCCTTTGTAATTATATAAAGCAAAATGCCATTTAAAAAAAGATTTATTAACTAATATAATTATTTTGAATTATAAAATTTATTTATTTATCAAATATTTTATTATAAACATATGTTTCTAAACTACCAAACTATAATCAATAACATTCATACCAAAACCATTGCTATTGCTTTAGAATTAAATAGAAAATTATATTTGAACTCTTAAAATATCGTTTTAGTTAAAGTTAAATATTTAAATTTTGGTTACTGTAAACATACTTTAACTTGGAAATTTAGCACCGAGAAATTTTATATTCTTACAAAAATCGAGAAATCGCATTTCCGTCAAAACAAAAATTTTCATTTTCCCATTAAAGTGAGAAATCACCTATTTCTGCCAAAACCATAAAATTTATTTTCTTTTCAAACCTAAAACCTAAAATTTTATTTTCTCGCCAGAATCTGTGTTTCTCCACCAAAACCGAAAA